AAAGACAGAGTGAGACGGCTTTTATATTTACTATAAGAAGGATTTACATCCTGCTCTGAGACTTGGTCACCTAAGGTTTTAGAGGAGATGATGACTGGATAGGCTATAGTGTTAAAGGAGATGGTGTGATGACCCTCTCATCTCAGATATCCAAGAACATTTTGAGGGTGAGATTGAGGCATGTGTAAAGGGTTTCCATTCATTCAAAATGACAGATGACAGAAAATTATGATAGAGCACTTTCCTTCCTCTTTCTATCCATTCTTCTTTTATTCCTTATTCCCCTCCAGGCCTCCCTTCTTTCCATTTTTTTCTTCCTTTCTTCCCTCCCTCCTTTGTTCTTTTCTTCCTTACTCTCTGCCTACCTACCTCTAGCAAATATTGATAGATAAATTTGCCAGACACTTTCCTAAGGACTGAAACTAAAAATGGTGCAATGTAGACAAAGTTTCTCTCTTGCATTCTAGTTGGGAAGACACAAAGTAAAGAAAGAAACATGTGATGCAAGAAACAAAGGGCAAGGCACAGATGGTGATGGTGGTAAGGGGTGTTTCAGATAGTGCAGTCAGGAAAGACCTTGCAGAGGATGTGATGTTATGTACAAGCAGAGACCTACCCTTGCCCCAAATGTTAAAACCACACAAAGGAGTGTAAATAGAGGGCTTCAAAGAAAAGCCCGGCAGGCACACTGTCCCTGAAGTCTCAGGCTACCTGATTTATGGACACTGGCATGATATTAGTATTTTATGCACAGTATGGTGAGAAGCTGCTAAATGATGAGGAGAGACTATAGCTTTGGAATAAGGAAGCAAGGGTGCAACTAGGGGGATCAGATAAGGAACTACTGCAGAGTTCTAAGCAAGAGATGATGTTGGCTAAGACCAGGGTGGCAGCAATAGAGGTCATAAGAAATCATTAGATTCAGGATATATTCTGAAGATAACATCTATAGAATTTGCTGATGAATTAGTAGTATGATACTAAAGAGAGAAAGGGGTCAAGGCTACCTTTATGGCAATTGTAATTTTTCTCATACATATTTAGCATGAAAAAGAATTTAAATAAGATATTTGTATGTGCCTGCAGATGTGCATGTGAGTCTGAATCTATAAAACATAGTTTTATATATATCTGGGTTTACTGAATTTCTATATTACAATCAATTAAGTGTCAGCTCCCCAAATATATGCATTTTTAGATACAGCTTCTTACATCAATCTAAAATTCCTGGTTTCATGTGCACGTAAGATTCATGTAGGAAGCTCATCAATATTGGGAGGTAGGCTCTAATAAGTTGTAGATTTACAAGAATGCATATAAAAACTGCACAGTGATATTGTAAAACAATAAATATATATTAAAACTCCAGCAAACCTAACTCATTTTCTAAGTTTATAAGCTCTGGTTAAATTGTAAAAGAACTCTTGCTACGAACTGTACAAACAAGTCTACTCTGAAATGAGACTGTTAGAACTCTTATTTTAGTCCATTGAGGGCTTCTTTCTTTGAGAAGAGAAATCTCCTGGAAACCACCAGTAAGAGAAGATAACTAGTTGATCAAATCTTTCAACATTTTTCTCAAAATTTTCAAAATATTTTTTTACACTACTACATATTGCTAGTTATCCAGGCCAAAAAAAAAATTACTTTTAAAGCTTGGATGTGTAGATAGTACACTCATGAAGTCTGAAAGAAGGTAAAGCTCTCAATGCACATAGAAATTGTGAGGCAAAATGAAACTGTGGACTCAATGAGGTTTCCACCTAGGAAGTGGTGAAGATATTCCTCCCACCGTACTACTAAGACATTAGACCTGAGCTGATTGACAAGAGTGGCCTAGGAACCAATTATAGAAACTCAAATCCATCTGACAGTCAGCAGGAAGGTAGATAATGACTCCAGAAGACAGAGTACGGAATACAAATAGATAAATCAGTTTACTGGACATCATTGGAGTTGGGTTGCTGTAGGAAAGATCAAAGAGTATTCTAAGGTTGGAGTACAAGT